GAGGAAGAAAGAAACTCGTATTAGTGCAAGGAAGCAAGGAGTTGGCTTGTATCCATCATCATCTTCTGATTTTGAGTTATTTAAGGTATAAATTTCATACCTTGACCCTTATCCTTCTTGTTTCAAGTTTGAGTTCATTTTAGAGGATTTTGGTCCCTTTCTTGGATGCTTTTAGAGTTTACTACAGAGCTTGTTAATGGCTCTCTAATGGTCATTAGGTTTTTAAGAAATGAGAAAGGAGTCATGTTTGGAGTTACCTTGTGTTTATGCACAAGTTTTGGTTTTATTAAGGGCTTAAGGGAATTAGGGTTGTAGATATTGCCTTGTGATGAATCCCTAAAGGATAAAGTTGGAAACTTATCCATTAAGTCATTGAGAAGGTCCATATATGAAGTTATGGGCTTCAATCGGTAAGGATTAATATCTTAATGAAGAAAAGACAATCTGCCAGAAACCACGACGTGGCCAAGGGCTTGCCACAACGTGGTGGTGTCCATCATGTCGACTATTTTATCTTGTCATGCCCACGACGTGGCCAAGAGGTATCTAAGTCATGGTGATCGTTGACTTTTTTTGACCATTAACCGTTGAGTCTTGACCATTTTTAAATTTGGGTGAAACTTGAAGGACTTGGGTTATTGATTAAGGATCGATCTCTGTTTGGTGCTAGTTGGTTTGCAGGATTGCTCAGTGCAAGGAGTGAGTGTGTCGCTGTGTTTCCTTGGGTCTTCGATTCAGGTGAGTTTCCTCATTATACCATGTATTACGGTATCGTTAAGGTAGTGATCATTATGGTAAATGTCGTATGGGTTGTATGTAATTATGTAAGATAGCATGATAACTCTTGATCTACACTTTCTTGCATGTTCCTTGTTTGGTTGTGGCTTTAGAGTAGGATTATCTGTTCGAATGTCTATCTTATCTATGATTACATACATGTAACTTCCATAAAAATCACAACCAGTTTAAACTTTTCAAAACAACCCCTTTACTAATAAAAGTGTTTACAAAACCTTTGTTTCCAAAACATGATTTAAATCAGAGTCTCCCAAGATCCAATCAGTAGTAAAACCAAGGATGTGTACGTTCATCCCTTCGCCTTGACACGGTCCTCTGAAGAACCTGAATCCATAAACAAAAAATGTAAGCACGAAGCTTAGTGAGTTCCCCCAAAGTACCAACACACGAACATATAACATATTCAAATAACAACATGTATTGGGTCCACAGCTAAAAGACTGGATTACCCCTAAGCCCACAATATGAGTTTGGCTTGCCTATCGGGCCCACATCTCATATCTGGCTTGCTCCTAAGCCCACAACATAAATTTGGCTTGCCCTCAGGGCCCACAACTTATGTCTGGCTTGCTCCCTGACCTAATCTCTCATCGGACTGAAATACCCTCAAGCGCTCAATACGAGTCTGGCATACCACCCGGTCCTCAACTCGTATCTGGAATGCACCTGATCCCTCAGTATGAGTCTGGCATGCCCTACCCAACCCTCAGCTCATATCTGGAATGCTCCAGGGTTTGTTGGCTACAACACGAAGCAGTACAACCTCAACCCAACACAATATGTCGACATATAACAGATAACAAACATATACAGATAATCATGCAAACATAATCTCAGGTAGTCCTACAGATCTACCAGACTAGCACATTGGCAGCTAGCATATAACCATGCAAATCTATTCCATACTCAGCATAACAGTGAATAGCAGGATATCAAACCAATGGGTCGGCCGTGGTGCCTTTGACCCTTAAGTATAGTGAGGAAAACTCACCTGAAGCGACTAAATATCTCAGACAAATGCTCGGATCGCTGATCCGGAAATCCCCGCGCGCTAGCACCATAAAATATCATCCAATTAATCAAGCAACCATTTTTATGGCTCAATACACTTCAAGACCTCAAAAAGGACAATTTATATGCTTTGGAGTACTCCATACTCACAAAGATCCAAACTTTGGGGACAAATGCTTATGCAATTATGCCATAACAAGATCTATGAATAGAGTCATCAAGTTTGAAGCTTTATACCTTGAGAAGATAGATCAAGATGTACAAAGCCTGGATCCACAAGCTCCAAGAAATCCCACACTTCTTCGAGAGGCTCCTCCTCCCCCTTCTTCTTCTGTGAGCACCAAAATGCATGAAATACCACCAAGAACTCAAGAACAACAACAACGGAGGCTAGGGGCTTCATTTTTGGGTTTAAGAGGATGGAGGTTGAATATAATAGGGTTTGGTGGTGAGTTAAGGTGCTTAAATAGGGTCCAAGACCCTAAATTAGGGTTTGAGACTGACTGGAGTACGCCCAACGTACTTCTGGTACGCCCATCGTACTCCTTTAAGGTTCTACAATCATTTCCTTAGTACGCCCATCGTACACCAATGTACGCCCCACCTACTCACCTTTACACTAGTACGCCATGATACACTTGTGTACGCCCCACGTACTCGGTTAGCCCTAAATTCACCAAACTTCTGAAGGCCATATCTTCTTCATTATAAGTTCGTTTCCGAAGATCCTTATATCCACGAAAAGGTAACGAGAAGCTCTACACTTCTATCAACTCATCCTTGCCTTAAAACTTTTCGAACAAAAATCCAAAATTCATAAAAAGCCTGACTGCCACTTTACGGTTATACCCTTGGGATCCAAAACACAAATTGAATTCCCATATCATCTATCCTACCTTATCCACCCCCAAATGGGTCTAAATCTCCATTTCACAAAGGCCCTAAGCCTTATGATAATCAGTCTTCGGGTCACGACCCCGCATTGGGAAAGGATTCGGAACAGGGTGTTACAATAAAACTATGCATTTATTTGGAGATCCATTCTTACAATATAGAATATAATAGTGTTTCCTTGTGCAAAGTGGACATGCTAGGCTGGTAGACTAGTTTGGCTAGTTGCTTGTATTATGTGATTGTGTATTTGTTTGCTTATATGTTGTTTTGTGTGAGTGGGAGGAGTTGAGGCAGTCCTGTTGTGCGCGGTATGCCAAGATACTCAGGCGGGCCATGTGATGCTGAAGGCCAAGGGGTACCGGTTTATGGTATATATGTGAGAGGCAGGTCAGTCATGGACTGAAGGCTGATGTGTGCATGTGTGAGGGGTAGACCAGTTATGGACTGAAGGTCGATACATTTATGCTTATATGTATATTGTGGTGTGTGATATTTTGGGGGAAATCATTAAGCTTTGGCTTGCAGTTGTAGATTTAATGTTTTTTCAAGTACTTCCGATGATTGTAGGAAGGCAAAGGCGTGGCTATACACATTTATCATAAACATTGGAGTTTCACATTTAACTTATATTATTCCAGTTTTCATATAATTGTATTTCGAACAAATGAGTTTTCTTAACTTGAGTTTTATGAAAATGGTGTTTTGCTTTAATTAAAAATGAAAAATTTGTTTGTGAAAATGGGACGTTACACTATCCATGCACACCACCCACTCATAAGCCCCACCCCACAAACACACCCTCCCACATACCTACCACCACTTCTGCAATCACCGACCTAAGATCACCACCACAACTACCCCATCACCGTCATCGCCGCCATCACCACCACCACAACCACCACTTCCGCCATCACCACCACCGCAACTATTACCGCCCCACCACCATTTAAACATGTTTTCTAATTTTCTAAAACCGAAAAAGAAAAAAAAGAATAAGTTTTAAGTAAACACGTTTTCTAAAGTTTCCAATGAAAACTGAAAACGAAAAATGAAAACCGAAAACAGAAAATGGAAAACGAAAAATAAAAATTGTGTTTCTGTAACTAGACGCAACCTTAGGAGTCCAATCTACGGTGAAAATTTGCAACCAACATTCATATTACAAAGTAGGAGGGTCGAAATATTAAATTTGCCAAATTCTAAATCAACAGCGTTCATATTGCAAAGTACGAGGGTTTGAGTTGTTAAATTTTTACCATAGCCTTTTCTTCTTTTCCTATCTGTAAAACCTTTCCTGCGTCCTGGAGAGAGAAACTACAGAATTTACAGAGAGAGAGGGGGGAGGGAGAAGATGATATACACAGACAATCACGTATACGTACACAAGTAAAACGTAAGCTCCGCCATTAATTAGACGAACCGAAGCTCGGGACGCTATAATATATTATTGGCACACAAATAATCGTAACCCTAATAAGGGAAATCGTTAGCTGAGGTTAGTTTCTTATGTTCTTATAAAATTTTGTTGTATTTGTACAATTGTTAGGGCATATCATTTATGATTGTGGATTGATTTGGAACTCTATGCGATCTATTGATTTGATCCTATTGATGAAATTGCTGCATAAGATACTATGTAGTTCATTTTGTATTGTCTGTATAGGATCACTCAGCATCTCCTAGACTGCAAAAATTGAATGTAGATTGTGCTAAGAGTTATATTTTAGATAGATGATGTCTATAGAGTTTTGCGGCACAGCAGTTGGGGGTCAATTTCCTCGAGAACCAGTCTGCAGTTTCCAATTTCATGTTTAACGTTGGGGAAATAAACTTGTGGACAGTGAAGAAGAAACTGAAAGTTCTCATATTCGGTTCATGTTCATTTTTCCATTAAGAGTGTTGTTCTATCTATCATCCTCCCTCTAAGCATTTAATAACCATTTTTTGTATTCTGAATGTATGATTCAGCCATCATTGATGGGTAATAAACTAATAATTGCTGCTAAAGCTAACAATAGAATCTTCTAGGGATTTGGAGAACTTTTGCTAGTCTCAATTCTGAATAACAGCATCTGATGACTGATGCAGTCTTTCAGAAGAAGCAAATAACATTGTTATTTTGAATTTTATCTTTTCTGAGCATATCAATTAAAGTAAAACATAAAGGTAAAGGTTTTAATGTTACTTACAGGAGACATCCTTTCTGAGAATATTTCAGGTTGATCCAGTGGGTTCATTGGTTCCACTAGTAACTGTTACATCTTCTCAACCATAAAATAACCAATCAGAAGCACTCAATGGAGCTTAAAGTTCCAGTCCATGAACCAGGTCGCTCACCTTCTGTATCCGAAAGCAATCCTAATGAGAAAGAAATCAGTGATGATGATGATGATGATCGCAACCATAAGCATCGTAGAAGAGATGATGCAAGGTCTCAGTCACTGGAAAGAGATTCCATGGAACAAGTATTTACTAATAAGCCATACAGAAGAGGAAACAAACCTTTTGAAAATGGGCATATTTACAGGGAACAAGGTTCCCATTCCAATGACACATGGAAAAATTACAATTTCAACCCTATGGACAAAAGACGACAAGGACCTTTGGATTTGAACCAGAGAATTAGGGATCCTGGTCCAATGAGGGGTAGAGGAAACTGGAATCAACATGATCCAAGATTCAACTCTGTTGATATTGCTTCTAGAATAGCTCAACAAGGATCTGTACCCCCTGGTATGTTTGGTGGAAGGGGTTTACCAAGTGTTTCAAATGCATATGGTCCATCTTGGAGTGCATTTGGTTTGGTTCCAGGTATACCAAATGGTGGTATTGATACACTACATACCCTTGGTTTACAAGGAACATATAGAGCCATTAATCCCTCCATGAACATGGGAATGGGACTGCCACGTCAGCGGTGTAGAGACTTTGAAGAACAGGGTTTTTGCCTAAGAGGTGATATGTGCCCAATGGAACATGGGGTTAATCGTATTGTTGTTGAAGACGTTCAGGTATGAATGTATGATACTATGATGTGTTCTTTATTCAAACTCATCTGATAGCATACTATTATTGTCTTTACATTTATCTGAAACTCCTGTTATTTTACAACTTGCAGAGCCTTTCACAGTTTAATCTCCCTGTATCGCTTCAAAATGCAAATCTGACCGGAGCAGTATCTGGGGCAGGAGCTTTGCCTGCCCCAGGTGCCCCAACAACCTCATTCAAAGCTTCACGTGGCAAGACTAGGAAAAGTGGAGTTAGTGGCAATGCTAATGCACATGAGTTAAATGATGCATTAATTGATCCTTCTCCAAGTGTTGGAGCTGATTTTTATGATCCAGATCAGCCTCTATGGGGTAACGATTCTCAAACATCACCTGCATTACAATCAATAAATCAATCCAATGTGAAGGAAAACAGGCCTTTATTGGATCCTGGCCCATCTGGGTCTGATGAACATATGGTATCCAAGATTACAAATACAAAAAACAAAGAAACCAAAGAGAATATAATCTCAAAACCAATCCCTTCAAATTTTGAGACAATTGAAAAACAGGACCCATCAAATAGTGGTCAAGTTGTTCACCTCCATAAACGAAATGACATAAATGGGAAAAGTGTCAGAAAGCCTACACAGAAAGCACAACGAACAGTATTTGTGAGTGGTATACCCCTCCAACAAAACAAAAAGGAATCCCTATTTTCACATTTTCATAAATTTGGGGAAGTTATCGATATCCACATTCCTATAAACACGGATCGTGCTTTTGTCCAGTTTTCCAAAGGAGAAGAAGCAGAAGCTGCTTTAACAGCACCTGATGCTGTGATGGGTAATAGGTTCATTAGGTTATTTTGGGCTAATCGTGATAATGTTCCTATTAATGGGTATAATAATAGTAATAATGTTCCAATACCTCCACGTGGCCCACCAGTTTCATCAACATCACATAATGGGACATCTGCTCCTTCTTCTGATCTCCCAAAGCCCGTGATCATCAACACCCCAAAAGTCCCTCCACCTTCACAAAAGAAACTGGAGAATTTAGAGGTTTTGAAAGAAGAGCTTCGCAAAAAGCAAGAAATGCTAGATCGGAAAAGGAACGACTTTAGGCGCAAGTTAGACAAACTTGCAAAACAAGTAAACACTTATTTTATCTTGTTATGCAATATGCATTATCTTATGAAGCGATGTATATATATAATCTAAATAGTAACATGGTTATTTTGTTGTTTTCAGGCTACAGGTGTAAAAGGGGAGACGGAAGGTGAACAGGTGGCGAAAAGACAGAAACTTGGAAGTGTAGCTGATAATTCTGAAAAAGCTGCAACTTCAAGTTCCATTGATCCTGAAAAAGTAATCGATAATGGTAGCAAATCTATGGAGTCTGGTGTTCAACAAAGTTGTAAATCAACCAATGCAATTGCAATGCAAGAAACACCAGTTTTGAAACCATCATTACGACCATTGATGCCGATTAATCCATCGATTGTCACGAATCGGTTCAAACTGGACAATCGTCCCACTGCTTTTAAGATTGTTTCAACTCTACCAAATGATCTTGCCAATGTAAGTTTTTATATAATATAAAATGGAAGGTTAATAAACGAAAGACATTTTGTTAATGGTTTGGTTTGTTTGTTTAGGTTGCAGTTTTGAAGGAACATTTTTCTCAATTTGGTGATTTGTCGAAGGTGGAGTTGGATGATAGTGATGGTGGAAATAATGATAATGGAAGAGCTCGTGTATATTTCACGACACGACATGCAGCTGAGAAGGCGTATTTGAGTGGTAAAAGCTGGAATGGTCATAACTTGCAATTTTCATGGATGAAAACTAGCAGTAGCAACCAAAGTCCTTTATCCACTTCCAAAGGAAATTCAGATGCTGAAAAACCTGGAGATGTGGAATCTGAAAAGGTTGAAAAAATGGAGATTGATAAAGAATCAGATGAAAGTAAAAATAAAGAGTAAAGCTTTTGTTCTGAGTTTAAGGGCATGATAATAGTCAGAGTTGTACAGCCAGCTAAATGGTACGTCAAGTCTATCTTAAATATATATATATATATATATATATATATATATATATATATATATATATATATATATATATATATATATATAACCAATTGATCCAATTCTGATTAATTGTCTCCACGTCTGTCTGTTAAAACTCAAAACACTTATGATTATTATTATTATTATGATTCCTTTAAAGTAAATTTGAATACATGATATTGAGAATGTGTATGTATTATGACTATTATGTATGGTTGTTTATATTGTTGTTGCCCTTTTTGACCTTTTTTCAGTTGAATACCCCCTGTTTCCTATGCCGGAGCACCATAATCTTGGGTGGAAGCCACATGGATTTTCAGAGGTCCGGCTATTCTTTTTGTTGTTGAAACTGGGACATTTTTTATTATTTCTTTTTGAATTTGTTTTCTACTTGAAGCTTTTGAGGGTCCTACTTTGTTTGTACTAGATGGACTTGAGGGTATTCATATTTCTTTGTTTCAGGATCGACTAGTAAGTAGTAATTGGATATGAATTTTGTAACGACAATTAAGGTTCACACTCTCCAGTTGCAGATATTAATTGGCACTACTTTAACGACTCTGATGTTCATGTGTCCTTAGTTTAGTTGACCTTTTTTTTTTCTTGAGTTTGACGATATTAATTGATACTTGATAAGTTGGTTTGAATGGGAATCTAATATTTGATTGGACTTTACTTGATGAAATATTGATTATCAATCGTGTTTCTAATGCTTTTTAAATAAATTTTTAATAAACTGTTTCTATGAAACAAGATCAATAACGAATTACCAAAAAATCCACCGTTGAGTTTTATGAAAGCAATACATATTATTTCTTTACCTACTGTTTAAGAATAGGGAGGGTCATTCATCAGAATCATTCAAGAATATGTTGGTACATATGATTACTTTTGGTGATCAGGTTAACGATCATTCCAAAAGAGCAGATAACGTTTCGTAAGGGAGCATATTGTTTATGTAACGTACAGAGAGATAGACTAACAAATAAAGCAAAGAGAAACCATAAATACACAACAGATAAAGAGAAACCATAAAGTAAGGAGACTAAAATGATATTACTTTGTCTTTTATTGTGATCACATCATTGATGTTAATATGTCATAATGATATAAACAATAGAGAAGTAAGTTCAAAAATAAAGGACTTACAGCGGTATTAGAAGTCACAAAAGATTTTCCTCATTTTAAAGAGTTAAAAATTCAAGCCTCGTTTAAAACATTCATATAGTTTAGGATTAGATTAGTGGTTTGGAAAAAAAAAAAATGCTGGTATCTATTTTAACTTTAGACTGCAGCTATATACAGATTACGGCTTTATGTATCATAAAATAACCAACAATCCGTTGTAGTCTAGTTGGTTAGGATACTCGGCTCTCACCCGAGAGACCCGGGTTCAAGTCCCGGCAACGGAATTTTTATCCTTTTTCATATTTGTCCTCAATTTCCACCCAGTAAATTGTCAAATTCAACGTATAGAACCGACCAATCCAAACAAATTCATATTCCATCCATAAATTCTTACAAAATAATCCTATCTACCCGTTTTCTTTAACCCCATCATCATCTAATTAATAACACCAATCAATCTTTTTCCTTAAAAAAACATATCCTTGGTCCTTGGTTTTTAACTTTTATCTCATGTATATCATCATATCATCCCAATTCGTTCAGGTTTGGTCTGACCTCCCCGGCAAGCGGTTGGTAGTCGCAGTCGGAAGAGCCACAGAACATGCCACCCCCATCGCGGAAGTAGATGGTGGTCAGCGACAGAGTAGACACAATCATCATAACACCCATCAAGGAAATCCCAGTTTGTGTCGAAAATTTGGTGTCACCGGAAAACAGTAGCAGTTGTGTTACCACCGCCCCCACCGTACCTCCGCTTCCCGTCATTCCGGATATCACCCCCATTGATCTGCACCAACAAAAACAGACACGTGTAAACTAAAAATCCAACCTTTCTTGGCAATTAGAGAGCCACATTCCTGGTTTTCTAAATAATAAAGAAATGAAAAGATATTTATACCTTTTGGAAACAAATGGTACTACTCCAAACGTAAGTCCTGACGCAGCTTGGACAAAAAACGAGAACCCACACATCACCACAATCGAACCCCACAACGAATTAGCTCGACCCAGCCATAAACAAAGCAACCCAGCCACCGTCTGCACCACCCACAACCCCCACAACCTCCCTTTCATCCCAAACCTCCTCCCTAACTCATCGGAAACCACCCCTCCCGTCGGCCGAGATACCCAATTCGCAAACCCAAAGCTAGCCGCTATCACCCCCGCCGTCTCCATGTTCACCCCGAATCTATCGTAGAAATACTCTGCAATTATGTTATCCATTGTCAGTTCCACTCCAAAGCAAAAACCATAAGTTAATCCTAAAACCCATCCCCTGTAATTCGTAATCCCATTCAAAAACAAACCGAACGAGTCTTTCTCCTCTTTTTTAAACTTTTTGTACTTTCCGTCCGGCAGGTCATAACCATAAGCCAAGACGAGAAGCGCCATTGTTGCTTGAAACACGGCAGGCACCACAAAAGCAAAACGCCAGCTAGCAGACTGTGTGAAATTGAAGTTTGTGTTTAATATAGAAAAGATAATCGGCATGAGTAACTGGGTGAGACCCGACCCGACATTGGCCCACCCGGCAGCTACACCGTTGGCTACTCCAACCGTGCACCCGGAAAACATGGAGCTCATCCAGAACTGGTTAGCTACGAAGTTGGCGAGTGAGAAGCCAACGAAGAAACGAAGTAAGATGAAGGATAATGGAGAGGAGATGAAAGCCGCGGAGAGGAGGATGGGGGCGGTGACGAGGGAGAGAGTGGCGGAGGCGAGACGTGGGCCGAAGAGGTCGCAGGCGGGGCCCATGGCGAGACGGGAGATGATGGAGCCGGCGAAGGCGGCTATTCCAGCGGTGCCGACATCGGAAGGGGAGAGATGGAGGTCTTCACGGATGATGGGGAGGAGGGGAGGGATGGCGAAAGTGGAGAAGAAACAAGAGAAGAGAGAGAGCCAGGCGAGGTGGAAAGCTCGCATGTGGGGGGAGGAGATAGAAAATGGCCGGAATTCGGTGGCTCTGTGGTCGGAGTCGACTGCTATGGAAAATTTTATTGTGGACTCCATGTCCGGGGAGTACGAGAATCACAAGCCTAACACGGCTGGCGTATTTATAGTTACTCAAGAAAAGAAAAAGCAAATTTCACAAAATTACCATTTTAGTCAAAGAAACGACTAAAATCGCCATGAACGTAGCAGGGCTTAACCGAATCGTAGATAAGGTTTATAAGACTACATAAGATATACATACTTCATGAGGGTTTCTGTAAAATTTAAAGTTCGATATATATATATATATATATATATATATATATATATATATATATATATATATATGGTGAGGATCAATACAAAACCATAATTAACCAAGGAACCAATTTTTTTTTTCAATTTTTAGAACTTATTTTTTATAAAAAAAAAACTAAAAATACAGAAATTCATAACTTTTTATCATTTTTCCAATGATATCAAATTCGATTTTTTTTACGTCAAATTCACAATGTAAATCCGGATTCACACGGTGAATCCGAAAAATATTTTTCACATTCACAATGTTAATATATGAATTTAAATATTTTTATATTTTTTTTTCGATAAAGAATAAGCTCGAGAAATTGAAAAAAAGATTTGTTTCCTTGAAGAACCAATAATTATGGTTCTCTATTGAACTTTTCCATATATATATATATATATATATATATATATATATATATATATATATATATATATATATATAGGGTTAGGTTCATGTGAGACGACCTAATTTTGTGAGACCGTGAGACGCAATCTCAGCCACTCATTTAGTAGATAAAAAAAACATTTTTAAAATGCAAAATAATTGAAAATTTTCGAATTTTTTTTCAAATATTATTTTCGGAATTTATATTTTCCAAAATAAAAAATAAAAAAAAATACCAAAAAAATAAAAAATAAATAAATAAAAATACATTTTTTTTACATATTCTAGTAGAATATTAGAATATTTCTACATATCTGACAAATTTAATACAATATTCTAACATTCTAAAAATCACATTAGAATATTTACAGTGTAATATTCTATTAGAATATTTCACGTATTAAAAAAAAAACGTTAATTTTTTTTTAATTTTTTTTAGGTAATTAAAGTTCCGAAAATAATAACTAAAAAAAGAATTTTTGGATTTTTCCTTTTATTTTGCATTTTAAAATTATTTTTATATTTGGTCTCACGGTTTCACAAAAGGGTTAGTGGTATGATGGGGGAACTCACTAAGCTTCGTGCTTACAGTTTACAGTTTTGTTTTCAGGTACCTCTTAATCGAAGGGGAAGGAGCCGGCACGGTAGCAGCGCATCACACACACACTCGATTTCCGCACTATGATGTCCTCGGGATTGTACTCTGATATTATTATTATTCCATGACATGTTTTTATGACATTTGACGTATGGGTTATGAGTTGATATGATATTGATGTTGCTTTTCAGTAAATGGTTTTAATAAACTACTTAATCAAAACGAAATTTTTGGTCTAGAAAATTGGGATATTACACTAAACTATAATTTGGATATGATGATGTTGTGGTATTATGTTTAAGTTTTTTTCTTGAGTAATGAATTAGACCTTTTTGCTCGTGCCAGTCTAAAATATTCACTATATGATTCTTCTCTTTGGTTTTATTTTTTTGTCCAAGAATATGCGCATTACACAAATTAAAATAACACCGGTAAAAAAAAGTAAAATTAAGAAAATTAAAACCAAAATCCAATAATTTAGTGTGTTACAACCAATTGCATTTACCCTCTGGACACTCACTTGACACAAATTGAAAACGAAATACATAAATAGTTTTCAAATTGAAAGTAAGTTAATTTGACTCAAACAGTCAAAGTTTCATAAAATCATGTAATTTGACTTCTAAGTTTATCCTCCAAATTCTTAATATAATCATTTAGGGATAGATCAACTTATCTTTCCTCTCTGCAACCACATCCAAGTGGATATGAATAAGCCCATAATAATCTCTCAATTCCAATGGCTTCAATGAACAGTATAATTCCATGTCTGTCGGAAGACTTCCATAGCCAAAGAATAAAAAAATGGAGTATAAAGAACAAACCGTAACTATTAGAGCTGAAATATACAAAATCAAAATATAATAAATTAATAAAAATGGCAGAAGCTTCAAACCTGTTATGCTCTTTGCAATTCCAGCCATAAAAACAGTACAATAAACAAAATAGTCTCACTTTATCAGCAAATAAAAATGCTTAACCCATTCAACCAATGTTTCGAGAATAAAGATACCAACATAAAAAGGCACAAAAAACTACATACCAATTGTAAGATAATGAAGCAAAAACCAGCGTCTAGGGTTTTTTAGTTTTCGGAGAGAAGCAAGAAGATACGGTGTGCAAGACAGAGAAGCTTCGATAGATAAGAGAGACACGACAATCATAGGAAGATTTCATGAAGATAGTGGGTATCGTTTTTAGGGTTTTCAAACATTGAATCTACAATCAGGTGAAGAAGTTGACTCATATACACGTATCTCTAGTAATTTGGCGTGATTTTAGTGATTAAGTTCATCTTGATTGCTAATTTTATGGGATTGATAGTAAATACAAATAAAGAAGCCGATTCTAAAGGACATGCTTGAGCGGGAAAACACAAAAGCGAGGGTGTAGAAAAGCTACACGTGGCAGAAGACAGTGCTTAAAAGAAGATACGTGGCTGATGTAGGAGTCTTTTATTAATAATAGAGATTAATAGACATACTTCATGAGGGTTTCTGTAAAAATATTAGCAGACAGAACCACTAATATTTTTCCATTTTCTGTTCATGGATGGTTTTGATTGACAGTATTTTTCCTAACAAACGATAATGACAATATTCTAAAAAATAACGAGAGAAGTTCCTTAGATAGTTAGATTATAGGAATATTAACAAAAAAATTAATGAACGAAGCATTTAATAGGAATTATCAAGTTTTTTTTTTTTTTTGTAGGGGTGTTTAAAATATACCAAACCGAAAAACCAATGAACCGTACCGATTATCGATTATCAGGTTAACCTAACCAGTATTTTCGATATTTTTCGGTTTGGTTAACCAAACCTGTAAAGTTTTCGCTTTTTCGGTTTGGTTACGGTTCATTTTTTTTTGCGCTACGGACAGTTAACCCAGAAAATGAAATTTGAATCTTTATTTTTTACAAGGCTACGTAAGTTTAGCATTCAAAATTATTATTATACTAGTTGTGATACTCATGTATTTAATGAGTTTTTTTAAAAAAATAAACAAACATGAAAATGTAACAATTTATAAAATTTAAATTTATAAGAAAAAAGTAAAATATTTAATTACTAAAATTGAAGTGCTTATTTATCTTTTAAATTTAAACTAGTAATTTAAATAAATAAACAACTAAAATAATTGGAATTAATTAAAAATTTTAGAATTTATAAGGAAAATTGCATTAATGAGTTGGATATACATTTATTATTACATTTAAATATTATGTGAAATTTAATAAAATGGAAAAAACTACAAAATGACACATGAATATAATTTAATTTAAACTTACCATAAAATGACATGTGTCATAATATATAAGTGGATGAAAAGTGACAAAATTATTTTCATTTATTAGGGAAGATTCTTATTAATTTATTATAAATTGTTGATGTTATTTAATAATTATTATTCTTAAGTATTTTTAATGAGCAATGTATTTCAATTATCAACTAACGTTTCTATTAACTACCACTAATTAATTGTGTTTATCATATTCATCCGATTTTTTTGGTTAATGGTTCTGGGGTATTTATCATAATATTTTTATGGCAACTTTTCATTTTTAGGGCGTGTTTGACACTGAGCTTTTGGAAGCGTTTGAGAGCTTCTAGCTTTTAACTTTTGACAAAACGCTCTAGTTTAAAAAAAAGTTTCGTTTGACAGTACGAGCGTTTAGCTTTTAGTTTAAACAAAACGCTCCAAATCTAAAAGCTACTTCATGTAGTGTTTAACAAAATGCTACTGAGCTTTTGAAATCAATTTCCATAATTACCCTTAAAAATATATTTATATATTTATTTATTTTTAATCAATTGTCCTTTTATATAATTTTATATATTTCAAAAGCTACCAGCTACTTTTGTCAAACACTCATATAACAAATAAAAGCTACAGCTTTCCGCTACCAGCTACCCGCTACCAGGTAACCGCTACCCACTTCCAACTAACAGCTACTTTTGCCAATTTATCATTCATATTCAACGTAAGAAAAAAACCCTAACAAAAATAGAATGTAAATTTTTAAACATGTTTATTAATTTGTAAACAGTTAACCAGATAACCGAACCGAAAAAAGAGATTAACCAAGTTTTTAAACATGCTTTTTAATTTGTAAGCAGTTAACCAGATAACCAAACCGAAAAAAAAGGTTAACCGAAATTCGGTTAACCA